ATTTGCATGACCTTCAAGACGCACTTTTTAGAGGCAGTGGAAGAGTGCTTGCCATCCTAGGCAGCTAACCGGGGCCCCGAGATAACATACGCACTTCCGTCGTATTTTTATAAAACGACTAACCTACATACTTCAGGCGGCTACAATCCAGTGCCTGAAATGGGCATTGCTTTTCTGTAGCTACCAGAGTTGCTTGAGACATCCTCATTTCCGCAGCCGGTTTTACCGCCGTTTATTTACTGTTTTGTCGAATAAAGTCTTCTCACCTCCCCTGTAAAACTTTCAGGCATTCATTTACAAGTCCAGTATTGAGAATATCTGCGTCCACTTGGAGCTGTCTATCGAAAAATTTAATTTGTTATCCCTGTTCTGCGCGTATCTGCCTCGCCGGCAAAATGCGTTCTAGGCAGCGAATGAACCAATCTCGCAACGCTATTTTGCTTTTCTGTGAGCTTTTAGTTAAGCATATATTACCCAACTGGTTATTTTGAAGGTTTATTGTTTAAAATAGGCCCATAGCTGGGCCGTTTGGTTTTGCAGGCTACTTCGGCCGGCCACCTCCACACTATATTGCCATCCGAGTAAGACGGGGAAGAGAAGGTGTGGTGGATACGTCGAAAGTCCGCTTCACTATAAACTTCCGTTGCTGGGTGGAAATCGTCGCTTGTAGCCTTTGATCTGCTATTTCCTGTTGGGATCGTAGATCCCATTATGTGTTTCCATATGTTCTGTTGATAATGAATGATCTTTTTTGTTAAAATTGCTCTTAAATCTCAAACTAACCCCCTCCCCTCTCCCGGTAAGAGGAGATATTGAGGTCTATTTCTCGATAAAAACGCCAACGTGTCCCCTTTTGACAGGACTGGCATGGTCCCCATCGTCTATGGACCACCAAAGGAGGAGTATGAAGTTCTTACCCCACCAAACTCCTTCATTCACGTGGACGACTTTGCTACGGTGAATGAGCTTGTTGGCTACTTGGAGTACCTGGATCAGAATGATACCGCCTATGCAACTTACTTCGCCTGGAAGGAATACGGAAAAATAGTGGTTAGTCCTTTAATGCCTGCACATTCCTTTTATTGTGGTATGTGGTATTTGAGTAAGCAGAAACCTGCTTGAATCTCCATTGGAGTACCACTGAGTCCATACTCGTTAGAGGCCAAATAATATGAAATACGGCCGTTATGTCGCAATCGAAAGTTCAGACAGTAAACTTGCTCCCGTAATTTTCTTGTTTTACTCTTCTCTTGCTAGCATCAAACCCATTATAATTAATAATAATTTTATTATCATTATTATTTTTTGAGGCCGCTGCGCAA